ATATCACCCACAGACCCAATATCACCCACAGACCCATTATCACCCAGACCAAATATCACCAACAGACCAAATATCAGCCATAAACCAAACATCAACCCAAAACTCTTAATATCAACCTCAGAGAGTTACACATCTACATTTGAAGCCTATATTCTATTACATTATACCAGTGAGACATTAAGAAGTCATCATATGACTTTCCCAGATCCTACAGTCTACACCCATATACCTCCATATCAGCTTAAGGGCCCGTTACTGTCTAGTAGTATTGAAAATGCAAAACGCCTCCTATATCAAGGAGAAGTATATGATAATGGATTCTATCAACCTCATCAAAATGCTGTATCTTGAATATCTTGTCTAAGTTTTTAGTTTGGGTCTGTTCAAATTTCATTGTGAACTGTGCACTGGCAAGGTAAATACATTTCTCATGAGCATCAACACAACTTTCCACGTCTCTCTATTTTTCACCTTCAATTTTAATTGAAATTAGCAGAATTCCCTACATTTCCGAATTGCTCAAAACCAATTATTTTATTAATGAGAACAGCCCAGCTAGTTCACCTTTTCAACATTTATTATGAAAATATATGTTTGGCAAGTTGGATTTTATCAAAATCTTTCTGATAATGGATATAAAAATTGTACTCTTTTGACTATAGGTGTGGACTTTACCTGTAAATTAAGGTAAAAAATACAGGGGAAAACATTCTCTGTATGTTCACCTGTGCCTGACAAATCTAACAGAGCCAGATCTATTCTTTTGATACATAATCAAGGCTGGATATTGTGTTGCTCCATTAACATCATTTTAACAACTTTTCACATAAGTATGTTGAAAGCGAGCCTTTATTCAACTATTCCTGCCAAACAGACAACTTTCTAATCTTTCAAGTGACATCTTTTGCGAACTTTTGGCGTCTTGCCCACAATCACTTTTTTTTCGAAAAATCGAGTAAACTGTGTGGGCACACAAGTACAGTGTACACACTGTAATAGGACTCCTGACGTCCTTCCCCTTGTTCCTTCTCTTGCTCCCAGAATGAAAACAACATCTCTCTAGATTTTGACGAATGGCTTTTTGCCCAGAATGCTGTCTTTAAATACCATAGTGTAGATAATTTTCTGACAATATATCAGGTTAATCAAATAACTGAATAATGTGTTCAATCGTGATTTAATAAACTAATCTAGGATATTTTCTAACATTTCCCATTATGTTTGGTATACTATAGTCAGAGAGCTTTTTGTTTATATTTTTTGCATGGTTTTCCAAAGCACAGTTCTGAATTTCTTGGAACACAAAATACCAAATCAAGTTATTTTTCACCTTTGTGAGACTATAGGGCGTAATTTCTTTCCAACCTGAATCTTCAAATTAAGTTAAAAGTTTTTCAGTTCTATAACGATCAATAAGTTTACGTCAGCAGGAAGAAATTGGTTTCAGCAATCAACTTCAGCTGTGACGTCTCTTCCTTGTTGTCGAAGATTCCTGAGAACAAAGGTTTACGGATGCTTCCTACAAGATGCTGAAAACAATGGCTGTCTCCATTGCTTTTTTGGGGAAATCTTGAGAGTCCGTCATCAGTTAAACTCAACAACTCTTGTCACATATTACTCTACAATATGTGAAAGGAATAATGTTCTAGGACAGACATGAAAACATACCAGTAAAGAGCTGAACGTTTGTATTATTAAATGTGTCATAATCATGTTTTTTGTAACAGACTCCGTAAAACATTGTTCTTGGGAATCTTTGGCAACAAGAGGCTTTATAAGTTTCTAAACAGCAATCAACAGGTTAAAATATGAAGAAAAGGTACAAATGTGTCTGATTCAGTAAAATGCTTGACCTTGTTATAGGGTACAGAAACATGTTTTCAAGAGTTCATTTGATACTGAGTGACACTGCAATACATCTAGACAACTATCTGCCTGTTCACTGCAATGCTTGGCCTTGAGCCTGTTTATACCATCAGGTTAAAAGAGTTCACAAGATAAAAGATGTTTTAAATGTCAGAACATATAGCAGAAACAGGCTTGATCTTGAGCAACCTTCGGAAGGTAAGAGTTGGTTTCTAGCTTCTGTACAATCGGTTGAACTGATGATGACTGTTACAAATGTATCGTGAAATACATTTTGAACTGCCAGCTTTCTGCATTATATATTCTCAAGATACACAACCACATAGAGCATTTGATAAACTTTTCAGAAAGCCTAGTATCTTTGTTATGGACTTAAAACACTCTTCTTAGAGGCTTTACTTGTGACCTCAGACATTTTATGAACATACATAACTAATTTATGCAATCAATAAGGTTGATTTTGTACTTTACACCATAAAGAAGTGTATGTTATGTGTTTTCCACTTTACATCATAAAGAAATCTTTGTAAATCAAACACGTTCTACAATCTTGAATATGTAGCACTTTGTGACATCTTCATACCCTGCAGGCCAGACTCTAGATATTCTCTGGACTGCATGACTGTATATTTGTGCCACCTGAAACACTTCTGTAACTTTTGTACGAACTTTACAGATCTTCAGTATGCATTTTGTATTGATATGCAAAGTAAAAAGGTGTAACAAATATTTTACAAATAAATATAAAGTCCATTTTCATTTCTATTTACAATTTGATGTCAGAGGAAACACAACAATATTTGTTCAAGGTTACTATACATTAAAATGTTTTCAACACAATGTTGTTGCCATGCCATTTTCTTTTCACTTTTGGATGGACAACTTGCTAGCAGAGTTTATTTGATATAGAAATGAGAGAAACAATTTATCAGACAACACGTCTCGACAAAGCAATTCTACACAGTAATTATCTAGATGTCCAAGAGTTTTTTGGTTAGTAAATAGCCTTTTTTATTGGGAATAGCTATTGTCAGGCCGTTAAAGTACCATTAAAACGTTCATGGCACTTATCCAGGGCACTGCAACGTTATGGTGAGGGTACTCTGTCAATATGGCCGACCTGTCTGTTTCTATGGTAACCATCAGATTATAGGAAAACTCTGGCTAATTTTAAACTGTTTTGGTTTCTGAAGGGTTATTATAATTTTAAAGTCGAAATTTGTTTTGGTTTAATCATCTTCCTTTATTAGTCAACATTTATGATAACTTATATTGGTACCCATTCGAAACAAATGGTTTCATCGCAAAACAAGGAATTCGATTTTATCATAAGAAAGTAAATTAAAAAATGCAAAGTATTGCAAGGCAATTCCATAGTCCCCCACCGGTAATGAATTCTATATTTAACAAATAGTACACTTATTTCAGGAAGCATAGGTCACAGTGAGGTCAAAGTGACCTAATTCTTACACTCTGTCACCAAATGTATACCAAATCTGGTTACTCCAGGTGAAATAGTATAGAAGATATGCCCAAGACAATTTAAAAAAAAGTTAAGGTCAAAGGTCAAAGCATAAGTCACAGTGAGGTCATAGTGATCTAATTCTTGCACTCTAGCTGACATCCCAAGATGGCCTTGTACACCAAATCTGGTTACTCCAGGTGAAAAAGTATGTAAGATATATGCCCCAGACAAAGTTGTTGTTTTCATCTAAAACACTGGATAACAAAGATCTGATACAAAGCGTATACTATTATATTTTGTTAACTGGAAAGAACCAGAATATAAGGTCAAGTTTGGTTAAAAGGGTGCTTAGATCATTTCAGTAAGCGCCCAAAACAGGGGAGGGAGACTTACAAAGGGAGTGGCACTTCTAACAGTAAATTAAGTACCCCATAGGAACATAACTGACCACATTAAATATAGTGAGTTTTTCTTTGGTCTATGAAGTTTTTGTGTAATTATTCCTTCTCAATACAGTACAAGAAATTATACAGACCTTCTATTGTTGAGAAATAGAAACACATAATCATTTCTACATATCTGATGAAGTCTGCAGTCAACAATGGACAAAAATCAAATGGCGTTTTAGATATGGGGCCTGTTGTTCTAACAGACTGAGCACACTGTGTGTGGAATCGTGTCGAGTTGTTTGACAGCGAGGACACATAGAGTCACCTTTTGTTACCGGGACCTCCAGTTTTGATTTTGACGACAAACTCCACGGTAAAATGATGGATGTGTTTTAAGAGTAATTCATTCCAGGACATCAAGTAGATTTAATAGTTTTTATCATGATACAGAATCCAGAAGGTTTTTGTAAAAATTAGACCTTTAACTGCTAACTTGTACTGTAAGAATGTCTGCGATCCCCATATACTTAACAACGGAAAGTGGCATACTGTCAGCAAAGTTGCTACTAACAAACAGTTCCCTTTAAAACTGGTTTATAAAAATATTTTTTTGACAACATTAGATCTGCCAAAAGTACCAAGGAAGTAATACCATGTAGAGAGGTTGAAAAGTATATGAAGTACAAGATATTTTGTCCTGACAGCCAAACAGTACAAGGCTGAGCATACAAAATGTCCAACGACAATAATTCATGAGCTCAAGGCATATCTGCCAATTGGGGGGGTGGGGTGGGGGTGGCCACAATAATATAATATAAAATACCTCCTATACCTCTAGATCTTTGGTATTGGTTTCTGTGGGGCAGGTGGACTTATTGGCAAGCCAATTTCTTCACCACTTTGTATAGCTAGTATACAGTAATTACCAATGTCCAACCTTGTTTATTTGAGGCGAACTTAAATTAATTTAATATTCTTCCATTTCATAAATTAAAACAATGCTATATACACTATAATTACATTAAGCAGGGTATCAAAGAAGACAACATTCAACAATTCTAGCACTGCCCAACCACGTACTCATTTACAGCTGAGTAGAGTACTGGAACAAGCGGAGTAAAGTATCTTGCACAAAGATACAACACAGCGCCGTGGCGTGAGTCAAACCCGCAACCCTTTGGTCATGAGCCCGGCGTCCTACCACTAGACTACCGTGTCTCCAACTTTGAAATTCTTCCATTTCATAAATTAAAACTATACTTATTATACACTATACTTACATTAAGCAGGGTATCAAAGATGACAAGCTTTGCACTGGTTGGAATGAGGTCGTAGCATTTGTGTGCCCGCATGAATTTTACAAATACCTGGTCCTCATTCTCATCTGAAATGACAAAAAAATATATTTTTCTTTACAGATCTTACATCTTCAGCAGTCATCAAACTTAATTTCTGTAGAGCTCACCTCTCCTGGCAAATGAAACTGCATTTAGGCAATAAATTTTGATATATATTTTCCATTTAAAAGAGAATTTAAAAGTGCCAGTTTGTTAGAGATCACGCCTGCTGACAAACCAGCTGCGTATAAGAGACCATGCAAGTATTGAACAGACTAAGAAAAGTACATCATAAATATTTCATTAAAAACAAGAGGCTCAATGGGCCTGCATCGCTCACTTGGTATAAATCTCACACTTGTAACCTTAAAAGTGATCTAAAATAAAGCTACAGGCAAAATATCAGTATTTATGATTAAAATTCATTCAAAAGACCCTGTTATTTTTTTATAAAACATTTCACCCCTGTGATTGAAAGTCGAACAAATCTTATAGCCTTTCATCTCAGGATGCAATTTGCAAAGTATCAACATCCTGGGACCCATGGTTATTCAGAAGAGGTCGTTTAAAGATTTTAAACAAATTTGACCCCTGTGACCTTGAATATAAGTCAAAGTCATTCACTTTAACAAACATAGTAGTCCTTGATCCCAGCATGCTACTGACTAAATATCAACATCCTGAGCCTTTTGATTATTCAGAACAAGTTGTTTAAATATTTTGAACATATTTGCTCCTTGTGACCTTGAATATGATTCAAGGTCATACATTTAAACAAACTTGGTAGCCCTTGATCCTAGTATGCTACTGACTAAATATCATCACCCTGGGCATTTTGGTTATTGAGAAGAAGTTGTTTAAAGTTTTTAACATATTTGACCCCTGTGACCTTGAATATGGGTGAAGGTCATTCATTTGAACAAACTTTGTAGCCCTTCATCTCAGCATGCTACTGGCCAAATATCATCACCCTGGGCATTTTGGTTATTCAGAAGAAGTTGTTTAAATGTTTTTTAAGACAATTGACCCGTGACCTTGAATATAATTGAAGGTCATTCATTTGAACAAACTTGGTAGCCCTTCACTCAAGCATGCTACTGTCCAAATATCATCACCCTGGGCAGTTTGGTTATCAAGAAGAAGATGTTTAAAGTTTTTAACATATTTGACCCCTGTGACCTTGAAAATGGGTGAAGGACGGACGGACGGACGCGCCACGGCATAAGCTCACTTGGCACTTCGTGCCAGGAGAGCTAAAAAAGCATATTAAAAAGATCAGAGGTGATTTGGTATAAAAAACATTTAATTTATTCTTCAATAACAGACACGTTAGAACATAAAGTATTCATGAACGTGTAAATATATATCATACTTAAATACCAACAGATGTCATCTAATTGACAGGTAAAATACAAACCATGTCCAATTGTAAAAATGTATCCAAAGGTCAATAGATTTAAGAAAGCATGTTATCTTATGGGATAATTTCACTAATTATTTCTGAACATCTGATGAGAGTCAAAAGACGTACAGTATATGTAATTTCATACAGAACTTGCACCTTGAAGAAGTATTATTATAGAAGGCAGCTGGATAGCTAGGTCTTACGTATGACCCTATTCCGTCTTTTCGTATTGCAGAGTTATCTGCTCTTGTGAGCAGGAATTGATTGTTAGGTCATTTGTTTGTGAGAATAACATCATCAACTTTTGAGAAAACGACGTAATTTTCTCACACAAACCAATGACAATCAATACCTGCTCACAAGTGCAGATAACTCTGCAATATGAAAAGACGGAATAGGGTCATGTAGCATCAAACAAATACTGGCACTATAATTAGGAAACTGACTTGGAAGTCAGTTGAATTATTGATAAACTACATACAGAGACAACAGTACAGGATTCTCTCAGAAATCAGTCAAACCTGACAGAAATAAGAAAATCTATAATGTAACATGAACGTTAGACCATTTTATCAATAATTTTTGATACTAGAAAATGAATGTTTTAAAACATACATGTGTCCTGTATGTAAAAGATACATGTGATCCCTCTCAAGCTTCGATGGAAATGGAGCCAACACATTGTGGAGTCAAATGTTTTCCTTGAGAACGTCATCAGGGATGCCGGCACTTACACCGAGCACACCAAGAGCCTAACCAAAGTCAGCGAAATGGAAAATATAGGTCACAGTGACCTACATGTCACATGACAATGTAGTACTCCTAAAGATTTATCTGTATACAAAGTTTGATGACTTCTGGGTTTCTATTAACCCTTTCACCCCTATGTAACTTTAATAACCTCTTCCATAAATTGATTTGGATGAGTCCATTATGGTCTACAGTGGTGAAAGGGTTAAGTATCAAAAAAATAAACAATGGAGGTAAACACAAAGTCTAACACAAACGTTGTGTGGATGTATGGACAGACAAAGAAGACAAACACAGAAGACAGACACTTTGCCAGGCCTCCACTGTTGAGGTTGGGGCATAAAAAAGTTCACTTATGAAAAATTTGTTTACATTTAAAACTCATCTACCTATCAAATATCAGTTCAGATTCCCCCCTCCCCNTTGCTTACCTATGCATGAACTAACATAGACCCATTTGACAGGGACAAAATAAATCAAAACAGAATCGTGATACAATTTACCTGCGTATATCTATATAAGTATAGAGAAACTCTGTGGTAGGCATTTAGATTCAATTAATCATTTCACCCCTATGTAACTTTAATAGACTCTACCATGCATTGATATGGATGAGTCCATTACGGTCTACAGTGGTGAAAGGGTTTTAAGGACATGACTCGGGATATCCTGTCAGCTTGGAGCAGTCGTAATACCTACGGATAAAATGTACAAGTTTTATTGTAAACATTTATCAATATATTGAAATATGACTGACTTCCTATGTTTAAAAATAACTACAAAATAAAATACTTTATAAATAAGGCCATACCACACTAACGTGTACAGGTATTTTAGACACAAAATACCTGAGCGGACAGGTGAAAATAGACAGTGAAGGGGATGTCTATAATTAGTACCGATTTATTACTACAGTCTCTTTCTTAAACAGGATTCTGATGTCTTAACTCGCGTGACAGGGCAGAGAAGTATGCAGATCGCAGGTCATAAAAACAATAAAAAAACACCTCAGGTTTCTTTACTTAATTATTCTTTATGTAATAAATGTCATTACTATTGCATAGCTAGCATGTCTAATGTATAAGGATATCAAACTGAATTGTTACAATCAAAATTCATTAGCTTGATAAGATGTCAACAAGAACGGGTCCTCCTTCAGATAGAAAAACACTTTCATAAGTTAGACATTTTATTGTTGTCTTCTTAATAAAGAGTTCAAATTTATCATTGAGAGATATTTATCTTTCAAAATGGCCAAGGACATATGAAGACCAAATCTCAAGGACACAGGCACTTACTGTGCTTCAGGGAAGAAATTTTTACTGTCACTTTATATACACCTACACAGCAGATAAGACGGATGTGTGTTAGTCAGACAACAAGTTTTAAAATCAGAATATTTGTAGTTTAACAGAAGGATAACCGACAAAATTCAGAACAATAGACATTAGAACACTTTTTTAAAGTTTATATAAATGTATGTCCCTCTTACTTTTGTTGCATGACTTATAATCATAGGCGGGCATTTATAGATATATACTTAATTTCATGTTTTGGAAACCAGATTCAGAACCGGCTATACGGGCAACTATGGACGGAAAACGTTGTTTTATTCAACACTCATCCTAACTTCAAAGTCCGTAACAGGCTTGCTGAATTTTATACCTTATTCAAGGTGGACAATACACGAAATTTGGCACAGATATTTGGGTTACGAGTAAGCTAAATCACCTTATACTTATCTCTGTCAAGTCCAAGGTAACTTTAGAGAGTATGTAACATTTGCTGACTTCGCATATTTGTTTAACTCATTTACCCCTGAAGACACATTTGAACTCTTCCAATTCAAAGGTTGGAATAGTTCATTATCAAACTTCAGGGGTGAATGAGTTAAGTGACAAGACACTCCCTATTTTTGGTCATAAAATAAGTCTGAACTTGAAATATGTAAGCTGCGATGTCTTTTGCGTTAAAAATATATGTTTTTAAACTAATAGTGCAATTTAAAATATAATTCCATGGATATTTGATTTTAAGTTACGAGACCATCGACTCCTTGGACAAAAAACTTGTAAAAGCGACAGGGAAACTTGTGCCAATAATAAAATGCACAAACGAATCTATACATAATTTTGACAAATAACATGGCAATTTAACATGTATTTATTGACTTAATCTATTTCTAAATTGACCGTTTTCTTTTTTCCAAACCACAAGTTACTTCAATTTCACCAATACATAATAACTTCTGTCAATTACCATATAATTTTTTTCGATGCAATTACCTTATATTTTTTTCCCCTGGGTCTTGGTTGAAACTTTGATTTTTAAGAGAATTTCAGTCAGTCAAGATCAAATTTAATGTCAAGACAAGATTGGTCGTCCCCTTTTGCTGAAAAGCCCTGAACAGTTTCTGATCGGAGAACTTTCTCGTGAAATAGTTCCTGGTATAATTACTTTGATAGCGACATTTGGAATCGGTAGGATTATTTGGAGACTGGACAATGAAAATGTAAATATCTGATCTTGAAAAAGCAGTAAAACAGAGATGAACATGAAACTACAGGTACCTAATATAAGGTTACTAATTTATAAGTGACTGTTATTATCCGGAAGTCATTACCAGTGATTGGTGTGTATAAATATATTATTATCAAAAGCAGGTCTACTTTGCTAACCACCTGAAACTCTGCCAATTTACCACAAGTATCAAGTCTCTATACCCTCAACACCTGTGAACTTGTCTACAATTCAGTGTAGGCTCTGCCAATGTTACTAAAATGAAGCCATACCCTAAATATGTCTGTTTCAACATTTATAATAGTTTAGCCTCCAAGTGAAAGCCTTCATTCCAATTTCATCTTAACATCTGTCCTCTTTACAGTTTTGAGAGCTTTCTTTAAGTTTATGCTTCATACTAATTCTCTAAAATGCAAAACAATCATTCTAGAAATTTATATTCTTTTCCCCAATTACCTTAACCTAGAATTAAGCAAATTTCTGAAACTTCAATTTATAAGTTCTTACAGTTATAAGTGCATGGCTAATGAAAATGAAAAAGTGAAAAAAAGAATAAGTGCATTCCTTACGGATTGAACCACCGACAGACTCCCCCCCCCCCCCCCCCCTCGTNCCCCCTCCCCCTTAGTGATTAATCAGACACTAAAGGGAAATTCTGTCTTTTCACTAAATTGCACAATTTCTTTCATGCATGCTTAAGTCAATAGATGTGAAACTTCCATGAAGAGTTGATTTACTAAAGCAAATCTACCGTTTTGCTATAATTACAGGCCAGGCCTGTATACTTCGTCGCTCTGTTGATTACTTGGTGTACACAGGTGTCCAAGGAGTCAAATCAAGGAAATTAACCAAACCAAGAACCAATCAACAGATACACAAAACAGTCGGCAAGTTTCCAGGGATTTCTTGGTGAACCACCAATATCTGACAGACAGGAATACCAGTATGGTTTTCCCAGTATTATATGTCCAGGATACTTAATGACGAGGCCTGGGGTCTAGCTTACTCCCATAACATGAGAGGCCGCTGGTCGGCCTTTTTTCAATCGGATATGATTTTGCCGACTGCGACCTCTCATTTCCGAAGCACTAATTCTTTGATGCAGTTTCCGCCCGAAATCCGGGCGGAACAAAATCGGCTTGAAAAACTCACTTAAGTGGTTAACAGTTCATGACAACGATGTCTACTCACGGTTTATATAATATAGATCTCATATATATGTCACAGACACAAATATATAGTATATTACGGAATAGAACACTCAAAATACATGTCCATGTCGTTGTAGCACATCTCTGACCTACATTTAAAACATGGCTTCTGGATTAATACAAAATATCAGGGGGGATTTCAAACGGAACGAAATGATACGGAGTTTGTTTGTATTCCACTTGTGAAACATTACATGTAATCCATTTTTGTATTAACCGGAAAAATCATGGCAAATGCTGTCTGCTTCGCTTCGAATGAAGAAAAACTAATTATTTATGTCTTTGACACGCAATATTTCTCATATAATCATGGATTTATGGAAAGGAATATTTATTGGACCCTTTTGACCATTTAAATGTATGTAAACACGATATGCTCTTTCTTAATCCGAACTTTGAAAATGTGATCGTTAGCATCGAGAAAATCAGCTATGGGCAGTTAGAGGTTACGCGGCGCCTGTCAAAAGTTTTTCGCCGTGTAAAACCTCTAACATTGTTGGAGTAGGGTCTAGCTCAGTGAACAAGAGTACCGTGGGGCGGAACAATATACGCCTCTCGAATGCCATATAGTGTTATATACTTTCTTACATTGAAATTAGATCTGCATCGTCTAAGACTGGTTAGCTGACATGATATAAAAAATGTAGGAGAAAATCTCCGGACAAAAAATCAAATACTGAAATGAACAAGGGGCAATAACTTTTGCAACAATCGTCGAATCAAAATTCCTTTAAGGGAGACACAACTTCATATCATGATTATAATGTATACCAAGTTTCAAAGAGATCGATCGAAAAATGTAGGAGGAGATTGCCGGACAAACAAAAGTTTACGGTGGACGGACGGACAACGCCATACCATAATACTCCCGTCAAATTTGACGGGCGTATAAAAAGGATATTTCCTACTGAAACAACTTAACTACTTTATAGATATGCTTAAATATTCAGTATGTTTAAGTCATTGTGTTTTAGGCAGTAAGACTATAATTAGAGTGTAGACAGCCATATATCTATATACAGTTCACCTTCTAAACACCTGATGTGCTAATTAGATCAACTCTGGTCAGTTCTGTATAGAGGCCAATAAATAACCCAATCAAAACAGACCAATATAATATACAAAATCAGGAATAAATATTGATTGGTAAGATATATACGAAATCAGTAATAAATATTGATTGGTAAGATATATATACGAAATCAGGAATAAATATTGATCGGTAAGATGTGTTCTTGAATGCTTTAGGGAATCGTTCCAAATCACATTTTGTGGCATGTTGCGAGTGAATATATAATTTATGGAATGAAAATGTGATGACTTTTCCCGGTAATGGCTATTGATACGTGTTGTATGCCAGTAAAGCAGCGGGCTGTCAGGACATTTCTTCATGTAATGATTAATTTTCTTAATTGACATTAATTAAAAGTCCATTACAAATTAACACATCTCAATAGATGAAAAAGGAAACAATGTCTGATTCTATTTCTGGAGGTTTCAGCGACTCTAACAACGGCTGTGTTCGTTCACTAGAGGACTGTTTGTTTCTGTTCGTTGAACCAGTTTGTTTACTTTAATTTTTTTCTTTTTTCTTTTCAGAGATGAAGTCCCATGGATCCGCAAATGTTAATGTACACAGGCATATTAATGTAGAGGCCTGGAACATTTTTACCAAAGCTCGTCAGAAAGCAACGTCAAATCACTGTTTGCCCCGATTTCTCCGACAACTCTGGTTCAACTGGACCAGATGTTTAAAACGAAACATATGAAAGTGATCGAGGTGTTTCAGGTTATGTAGAGGGATTGTGCTGTTAGACATTTAAATTGACATAATTCTTACAGTTTGATGGAGTGAGTGACAATGTAATGGACATTTGTTTGTAAGGGATAGTTACATTATTGCCAAATATAAATTCTTGGGCTCATTGATGTTCACTAAAGCTGTCACACAGATCGAGGTCTCTGGGCTCCGAACTTTATCCTAAACTGTACACTGACCCAGGTGAAGGGCTAAAAAAAGCATAAAAAGGAATCTTTGGATCAAAGACATCAATCAGAACATTCTATTTCTGAAAGACCGGCATTCTCTAAAACCATTTCAAAAGGACAAAGTCTAATGGCTTAAAGACCTTAAACTGTCACGGAGCCCTCAATTAGTCCCAAGTGTTAGACTGAAAAGGGTATCCTTAGCTGTCAGAGACGCAATGCTTCAGTGATAGACATAACTGGCCTCCACCTAGGCCTTCAGTTAGGTCTAGGTATGGGGTATAACTGGCCTCCACCTAGGCCCTGATTTAGGTCTATGTATGTGGTATAAATGGCCTCCTCCAAGGCCTTGAGTTAGGTCTAGGTATGTGGTATAACTGGCCTCACCCTAGGCCTTTAGTTAGGTGTAGGTATGTGGTATAACTGGTCTCACCCTAGACCTTCAGTTAGGTGTAGGTATGTGGTAAAACTTGCCTCACCCTATGCCTTTAGTTTGGTCTAGGTATGTGGTATAACTGACCTCCACCTAGGCCTTTAGTTAGGTGTAGGTATGTGGTATAAATGGCCTCACCCTAGGCCTTTAGTTCGGTCTAGGTATGTGGTATAACTTGCCTCACCCTATGCCTTTAGTTTGGTCTAGGTATGTGGTATAACTGGCCTCACCCTAGGCCTTTAGTTCGGTCTAGGTATGTGGTATAACTGGCCTCTACCTAGGCCTGGAGTTAGGTCTAGATATAGTTTATAATTCAATGTCTTACCCAAGTCTTCTATCTCCATTTTCTCAGTTGAGTTCAGTAACTGTAACGAGAAAAGCACATATATAAACCACAATGCTGAAAATATGTGGAACATTTTAGCAACCGAATCTATTGAGTGGCTATAGATCTTATATACCAGGGTCTTTTTTCCACTGGTCTTTTTATTTTTAGAATAAGAACTTGGACAGTGATGTCACGAGTCAATACCATCCATGTTTCATGAAATTCTCGGCCACATTCCGAAGTTATGGACAGGACGAGTTAGCTTATATATATACTGCCATACAACATACTTTCATACATGACTATGCGAAATGTTTGAGAGTGAAATCATGTCTCAATCAGTGTATACTTGCTTTAAGCTATTGCAAAATAGCCCTGACCTTAGCATCTTGATATAAATCTCACATTGATTTGAATTTTATGGTGACAAACTGTGTATATATTTAGATAACCCTGAAGTGGTGAACAAGATTTCACCTTACCTACTGTACCTGGTCATTTACTTTCTGACTTACACCTACTGTATTCCTTCTAATTACTGCCCCTCCCCCTTATTAGTGCCCCTCCCCTTAATTAGTGTCCCTCCCCCTGATTACTGCCCCTCCCCTTTATTAGTGCCACTCCCCATAATTAGTGCCCTCCCCCTTATTAGTGTTTCCACCCCTAATTACAGCCCCTCCCCCTTATTAGTGTCCCTCCCCCTAATTAATGCCCATCCCCCTAATTAGTGCCCCTCCCCCTTATTAGTGTCCCTCCCCCTTATTAGTTTCCACCCCTTATTACTGCCCCTCCCCCTTATTAGTTTCCCTCCCCCTTATTACTGCCCCTCCCCCTTATTAGTGTCCCTCCCCCTAATTAGTGCTCTCCACCTTTTAAGGCACTTATTAAAATGATAAAAGTGCCCCATTCCCAACCTCTCTCCAACCTTGCTCGTTATCAAAATAAAGATCACTTCTACAATTCATATCGGACACTACAATTTTCCATGCGTTCGAAAAAATATGTTTTGAAATTCTCCCTAGGAACGTGTCTGACAGTTACGTCATCTTTATAGAAACAGACACGGCTTATGCTTAATGTTATCTTAATTAGTGACCCCCGCCAGCCAATTTCTCAAGCTCACTAGCTGCTAAATACAGTGAATATGGTCTAACCTTCTCAATCTTGCACTTTCTTACTCACATACAAATGTGTAATACTTTCAATGTGAAATTGACATATTTTGTTATTACTGCATTCTGTGATGCACTACAGCTGTCTTAATGTGACAAACCATGGAAACAATTTGACAACATGAACTTAATTTAGGGAAAGCATAAAAGTGTTTCTTGATGGAAGCTGAGGACGTCTTTTCTCTCAATTAGTACGGGAAATTACTGTCATCAGGAAATGTTTGAAAGCAAAACGTCATCAAACCCCAATTCTGCTCCCAAGTTCTGCATGCAATTACTATAAAATGTATTGTGTGCTTGCAATGTTACTGAATGAACTTTGTAAACACATCTCACAACTATGGCCTTCAGGGTGAATAAAGAAATAAACCTGATAGAAGTTAAGCTGACAGGACCTTACTTTACTTGGAAACTATCTATTTATTCGCATGACATTCAAAGTGGGTCAACTAAGGTAACTTCTCTACCAAGTTTGGTAGCCTATTGTCCTAGCAAGCCAATATCACTATTCTGGTCCTTATGGCTCATTTGAAGAAGTTTTTAATATATCTTACCCTTGTTACCTTCAAAGTGGTTCATTTTAAGTCATTCATACAATATGATAGCATACCTACCAAGTGACCCGATTTTGTCGGGTTACACCCAGGATTTTAGCCCTTCACCCACTTTTATAACTTCACCCGCCGGGTTACGATTTTGACCCGGAATCTTTTCGAATATTAGAAGTTACCGAAGTCACTCGGAATTCTTGACTTTTCCATCCTTCTTCACAAATCGGACGACCTATTTCCTGTTTCCGTTTCTCACCAACAGGTAAGTTGTGAGTTGTTTATATACGTACTAGAACTGTTTTACAAATGTTTATATAAAGAACATTGTTACTGAACTTGCCGACAAGTAATTAGTCAGGTGTTTTAATGAATAATGGAGTTGTTTTTGCAATTGTATTTACGTAGAATAGATTGTATTTTGAAAGTAACGTTATGCCTTCTTGAAGGAAGAAGTCGTTATCGGGACTTGCAGGTTCTACTACACGAAATGCTAAAAGAAAATATAATTGTGCACAAATCAAATGTCGTAGGAAAAGTAGTAAATATAGTGTATAAAGTCTCGCAAAAAAAACGCCTGTGAAAACACAGCATCATTATATTATTATGAATCAATTTTATAAGTTGTGTTCTTGACAAATCTTTTTATTTTTCAGCTTTGAATTCGGTATTGTGAATGAGGATCAGCTAGATCTGCTGGAAGAACAGTTCAATGAATGTAGGGTGTAATTTTTACATCATTAAAATATTTAAGTTATAATTTAATATCTATTTTTCTTATATTTGTTGCGAAAAAAGCCTTCGCGCACTATGACCCTCTTTTTTATTTTCAAAAGAGGGTCATCACCCTCTTTTAGTATAACCGGGGATGGCAGGCATGTGATAAGTCATTTATCCCAGCAAGCTAAGGAAAAATATTATTCTAGGCCTTTAAGACAGAAAATTCAGAAACAGTTCTGTAAGTTGAATAACCATTAACTTTCTTCTTACCTTGTGATGATCGGTTTTGTAGACAATGGCGTGGGTGTGGTCATTGTTGGACAATGAGGGGGGCCGCGTCAACGAAGGGGGCGCTGATTTAGGCTCGGAGGATGATGATGATGAAAATGACTTTAAGGGCGAGACTGGAAGAAACAAGTAAAAAATATCAGTTACCACATCAATACAATTATAATAATTATTCATAATTGGTATGTAATTTATCATTAATTAAAATTACAACTTAATTAAGCAACAGTCATAATTATCTCCCTTACTTCTACGGGTCATGTGGACTCTGTTGTTATCAGAAGTTCTTTGTTTCCCATTTTTACAGGTTCGTAAATGTTAATTCGAATTTATGATTTCTTTTTCTTAAATCTAAACACAGAAGAAAAAAAACATATAACGGGGAAACAAAACATCACTTTGAGAGATTAGCGACATTATTTTTTATAGTCCACCTACAGAGCTTACAGTACCACCCAAGAGACAGAATCACTCCAACCATTTTGAACATTCATCATTTCCCTCAATTTCAAGTCCAAAACACATCAACGCTTCCGTTTTGAGAATCTTCTAGACAAGCTAGAATAACAACTTCTCGCTTCCCCGAAATATTGTTGAAATAATTTGTTACCATCACGATATATGTACTTAACTTCTATATAATGACACAGGTAAGCAATTCTTCCTGTGGGTTCTGTAAAACTTTCCTTGTTTTCGCCAAGAAAGAAAGTAAACCCTTGTGTAATTTCAGTATTATAATCATTGCTCGTATAACTTGTATTAAATATGAGGGTTTTAATTTCAGACTTAAACGATTGTTGCGAGATATGTAAACAAGGATTTATAGCACAATATCGCTGAGGAGCCCTCAGTTGTTTATCTAAATGTGCCAACTTTCCCAGTAGTTTTGTTAAGTCATCATTTCATATGTCTTTGAACTCAATATCAGCAGCAGCAGCAACTCCGATACATGATATTTCCAAATTACTGCAAATGGTTCCGAAAGAACAACAAAATCCATTAAAATGTATTATTAGAGTATAAGCAGATCTTGGCTCACTCCGGCAGGATATAAAGGACATTTCCTGAACAGCAAATATTCTGTAAGTGTAGATTTCCTTCTGACTGTGTAATCTCGGTGTCAATGTTTTGCTTCATATTGTAGAACAAACAGTATCTGTATCCAGTATCTGTATCTATTATACTTAACTGCATGACAGTGAAATTCTAACACTTAATACGTTCTGTGCAAAATAAGCAGCTTTTAAATTACAACTGTGAGACAGAAACAAAATTAAGTAATCACCGCTAAGTCTGTAGGCTGAAGGAAGACAAAACTCTACAGTTGTGGTTTAATGACACAATCAGGTTAAAATTTGAACCCATGACATAATAATATCTATTTTTAAAACCGGTTAACAAAATAAAGCATGCCATTAGATTCAATATGGCTTCCGCTCTCTGATAATATTCACAAAAACACTAACTTTTACACACAAGTATAAAAAGAAATTGAACTAGAGTATTGTTAGGTGAATGACTAACAATACAACTGGTTCACTCTATATAAAGATCAAAACAATTAACATTAGTACTAGACTCAGAAGCTTGCTAGGTTCAGGCACAGATTGACAAGTAAAATTTCCTGCTTCACCATTGAGCAACCAAAATATTTTTTGAAAACAAATTGCTTCAATGCCTTGGCCTTATTGCTGATGTCTTGGCCTTATTGCTTCAATGTCTTGGCCTTATTGCTGATGTCTTGGCATTATTGCTTCAATGTCTTGGCCTTATTGCTGATGTCTTGGCCTTATTCCTGATGTCTTGGCATTATTGCTTCAATGTCTTGGCCTTATTACTGATGTCTTGGCCTCAATTGTCAGGGGCTTAGTGTTGAGTATCAGGTGTCTGTGAAGATGAAGAGAATTACTGATGCTGACTGAGCCTGGGATGTAAAGACGAAGAGATTTACTGATGCAGAGCCTGGGAGGTGATTAAGACTGATCTAGCTGGGTAGACCCTGCAGGTATGTGACCTGCCCATTAGGACACCTATACAGCAGACAAACCAGCTGCTAATGGGCACTTCATACCTGTTAACGACCTCACAACTGAAACCCTCCATTTGCTATACGACACACATAGCTACAATAATCTACTTATGACAGGATGCCTGTAAATTGACTCTCGTACATGGAAGATTGCTAACAAGTTACTAAATATTACCGTCTGCAAACAGGTTTAGTTTTTTTGTATTGGATTTATGCACCTGCAGTATAGTCTTTTCAAATGGCATAACAATAATAAACAGGAAACTATGCACTGATAATCTGAAAAACGTTCTCGTTGTTGATCCCCAAGACTAGACAGTTAGTGATCTGAAATGGTTTAGGAGGCCATTGTGTTTGGATACAGTCTATGGGCTGAAATGATTAAGGAACTAGTCCATGAGGAACAGAATCTTCTACTGTTGTGTTTGCATGACTACGATATGAGCTGAAATGATTTAGGAGGCCATACAGAGAAACAAAATATTTTACTGTTGTGTTTGATTACAGTCTATGGTCTGAAATGATCTAGGAGCTAGTCCATGAGAAACATAATCTTCTACTGTTGTGTTTGATTACACTCTATGGGCTGAAAGGATTTAAGAGAACATGAGAAACAGAATATTCTAGTGTGGTTTTGGACTATACACTATAGGGTTAATATGTTAGGTAGCCATGAGAAACATAATTGTCTATTGTAGTCCTGGACTATCTACTTGTGGGCTAAAAATGATTAAGAAGATCGTGAAAAAACCATAATCTTTTACTCTGGTTACTAAACACTGTAATTACGTAAGAAAAAAATTCATTGATAATTCATGTTAACAGAACTAAATTTGACTTTGAATTCTAACAACCAAAAATTGAAGTACTATCATCCAGGGACATAAATATCCTCTGCCTAAGTAAGTAATAGAATATGATACAGGTTACTGAAGCATTGGAAATGCAGTGGTGGTGTATATATTGCTTAAGTTCTGAAATTCAGTGTTCATAGCCAATTTTCTGACATCTTGAATGCATATACATATACAGTATATATATATATGTACATTTGGGCTGATACAAGCAAGCAACATCAGTAGTTTATAATATATTCCTTTAATCTTGACAGGTATTTATGTATTTCCAAATTAACAGCACCTCAGGCAAAGCCTGTTTTTATGTTTTTGCGGCTCAAATAATAGACTTGACATTTAGATCAAGCCTTATCTTAGGCACTTAAATTAACATCCCTTAATAATTTAGGTATATTACATATCTGAAGATCCTGAATCATGAAATGAAATATACTTTTGGAAATGTCATACTTAGAACATCTTTTTTTCATAGCAAATAAGGTTAAAAGATCAATGAAGTTAATTTTCTTCAATACAAATACAAACCACTGGATTATAGAAGAACACAATTGTGTGCCTTACTTTGAAGAATTTCTAATCAAACCAATTCCTCTGATGATGTTCTTAACAAGTTATAAAATAAATTAAGTTACACACTGAATATTTGTATGATTAGGGTTTGGTAAGGGTTGTGTTGTGTATAAACCAAGTTTCACATTAAAAATCTGTAAACTGCATTTGTAGCTTAACATTTGAATTTTAGATCCTAACATTTTTAGCAGACATTTACCTATAAATAAATATACAACTCATTTAATGATTCAAATGAGTTTTTCCCCTTCGTTATTTATTTAAGATACCTCGAATTCATTTACAGAAATGTCAGCCCAGTGTTGGACAATAAACCCACATGTATATAAATCCTAGTAATGTAGTACACGTGTACCGAAATCTCTTCCCAGGTCCCGGTATGTTTAATAGATCATCTATGTTTAATAGATCATCTATGTTTAATAAATCATCTATGTTTAATAGATCATCTATGTTTAATAAATCATCGTACAGGAAGCACAGGGAAACATAACTATTCACATGTCCTCAACGATATTCTGTAACAGGATGTACCCATATTTAACTTATTGAAAGAGAGGCTCGTGATTCAAACTGAATGAAGGCACTTGTCTTATACATACAATGGGTTCTTTTGTTTTTCATTTCCTTATGACCAATTCAAGGTAAATATATCTGTATTGTACCAGAGAGACACTCCAGGCACACATCTACATTACAGTAATTATCTCCCCTGAACACCTGTATCAATATTATGTGATCCTTTAAAACTGCATGAACATTATAAAACATATAAATCTATCATTTTGTTTTACATGTGTTAGCAGGTAATTAAGCCGAAGATACCATTTATAAAAGACATATTTCACATATTTGAGAACTCTTCTGAACAGGAGTTACATAATTATATATAGTAGCATTATCATCTTTGAGGTAAAACTTAACAATTGCCTCAACATCCAACTGAATAGTCAAAGCCTTGAATTAGTAATAAGATTTGAGAAGCCATGATGAAAATAAAACGAAAAAAAATTGATGTCAAGAAAATGAACACATTGTAACTTAATTCAGAATACGTACTAGTTGCAGACTAGAGGAATGGAATGCGTCTATTATTTTGTTATGATGGTCAGTCAAATATCAAATGTATTAAACAATGTCTTTTAATGAAACCATCTGTCAAACCAATCACAATAAATATTCTTCCCCCAAATCCAAAAGAAAATTCTTAAATTTTCATGATGAATTTTTCGAACCTCTAGATTTTGTCCAGACGTTTTAGATAAATACACATCAATTAATTGTACCACTTATAAAAAGAGATAATGAGACCTGCATTACACATCGTATACCTTAACCCACAAACCAGACATACTAATATTGATAGCGAGACTTTAAATAATACAGGTCAATATAAAACGAACAATTCCTGGCAATGACTTTATAGCTATTAAAATGGTTCTTACACAAAAATTTACAATAAAACGAGTTGAATAATCACAAAACAAATTTACTCTTTCATAATTTCAAATCCAAACCTTAAGAATTCCTGTCCTAGTGTTATGTAGTTTTCTGTATTAACACAGTAACCTCCCCTTAATATTGTTTTGTATGTGGCACAGTAGTTGACTATAACAACCTGAAGTCTAGTATATAAATCATAGCCCCACTGACTTCCTTT